GAGCAGAGTTTCCTCCTGTCTACACTGGATCCATGTGGACACAGAGCAGAGTTTCCTGCTGTCTACACTGGGTCCCTCTGCACACATAACAGAGGGTGCTGTACTGTCTGCCGCTGCTTCTAAGCCTCCCTCTCCTCCCTAAGGCTTTCAAGGATCCGGGTGGGTCTGAGGCCCCCTCAGTTGGATTGGCTGTCATGCTGACCCTCAGGTCAAGCGCATCTCTCTCCACCAGCGTCCACCCTGCTTTTGGCCCACTGTGTCACCCATCCTGAGCCCGCCTCGTGGGACCTGGGCCACCCCCGTGAGCCCGGGACTTCCCACCGCCCTCCTGAGGCCTGATGCCCAGTTTGGAGCGGCGTGCGCTCACCGGCCTCTGGATGTCCAGCTGATACTGGAAATCCCTGTCGCTCGCCGGCCGTCGGCTCCTGGGTTTTCCCCAGCGGATGAGGCAGTGGGATCCGTTGCAGTGCACGGTGATGTTGCTGGGCGGGCTGTATCTCTCTGCAATGAGAAGCCGGCACCCACCCTTGATCCAGCCTGCTTCCCCCGGCCCACGGAGGCGCCACCCACCCTGCCGACCTGTCCTTGGCGGGAGCTTCCGAGGTCACCAGGAGGCATGGGTGGGTCTGAGCGTTGACGCTCGGGGAAGATGACCGACAGGCTGCTGTGCGCAGAGGAGGAGGTTTAGGGTCAGGGAGACCCAGGCAGGGAGGCAGTGATGGGTTTGAAGGGCAGAGATGGGCTCATCTGAGACATTTTAGCCTGAAGAAGCCTGGGGCGTCCTATGGGACCAGCGAGCCTGCACGGAGGAAGAGGTTGCCGGCTCAGCAGGAGACGGCGCTGTTCGGCATCTGGGACCATCCCGGAGCGGCCAGCCCCCCGGCAGAGAGCTGGAAAGAAGACAGACAGCTGGCAAAACAAGAAAAAGTGAGTTCCCACGTCCCAAGATGGGTGGAGGGGTTTGGACTCTCATGGACGACTCTGGATCCTAAGGCGAGGTGGAGGAGGAGGGGTGTGTGTAAATTCACATGTTGTGTGCACACATGACCATCTGGCAGGATGTGGGGAGAGGCCGGGGTACCCAAAATGGGGGAAGGAGGGAAAGAGGGGTCTTGGGGACGGGGTTCATAACAGGTCAGCCAAAGACATATTTGCTGATGGGGTTATTGACGCCTGTCTGAAAAGACCAAGGATGTCCAGTGTCCTTCAAAGATAACTGGGTGTCCACAGGTGACGCCCCTACTGTGGGTTCCAGCAACAAACAGGACAGGAGTTCTGCATCTGCTTCCATTTTAGCTGGCATACTTCCATTCTAAAGACCGAGACTCGATTCCGTGACTGGAACCTTCTAAGGTACGTTTGGACGACTTGGTCCTGCGCAATTTCTCTTGCGACTGTAGACACGGAATCAACACCCCCACTGGGTCTATCTGATCACGTTTAACTTGCAAGTTGAGAGGCGCCGTTCCTGGGAAGCGCACGCTGGATTCCCAAGCTCAGAACAGAGGGAAGGACAACCTGTCCTGATCATTGTTGTGACCTGGATTTAGGATGCTGTGCCGGGTTCTGAGGCGTGGGCTTTTTTTCTCCCCGCACCACCAAGCAATTACCCGACACCAGCTGGGCGTCCTGCAAGTCAGCTCAATTCTGACGCTGTCTACCTGGAGACGGCGTCAGACCCCACAGGTGAAGGGCTCAGTCCCGCAAGACAGTCCCCCACTTCAGACGCCCATCGCAAGTCCAGCGTGTCACCTGTGCTCTGGCCGATGGCCTGTAGATCGGAGGTTCCCAGGGCCTGTTTTTGGGTTCGGTTAATTTACTAGGGCAGCTCCCAGAAGTCAGGGAAACATCTTCCTTACCAGATAACTGGTTTATTTTAAAAGGACATAAGTAAGTAACAGCCGGATGGATGAGACGAAGGAGGCAAGTTGAGGGAAAAAGACACGGAGCCTCCATGCTCTCTCCAGGCCCGGCTCTCTCCGAGCTCCACATGTTCACCCGCCCGGAACCTCTCTGAACCCCGCCCTTTTGGGTTTTTCTGGAGGCTCCATTACATGGGCACGATTGATGAAATCATTGGCCACCGGCAGTGGAACTCAATCTGCATCCCTCTCCCCTCCCGGAGGTCAGCGGCCAGCCTGAAAGTTCCAACCCTCTAATCACGTGGCTGGTTCCCCTGGCGACCAGACCCCATCCTCGGGGAGTTCCAAAGTCTCCTCATTAACGTAACAAAGACAGCTTTATGGCTTCCAGCACAAGAAATTTCAAAGCTTTTAGGAGCTCTGTGCCAGGAACAGAGACTAAGACCAAACATATTTCTCCTTATAAATCACGATATCACAGGATTCTGAAGTAATATTTGGATTTCTTGGATTAAAAGAAAATGTTAGAAACATGGGGGTAAAAAGGCAAGGCTTCCTTGAGAAGGAAGGGGCGGCCAGATTAGGGTCCAGAGACAGGTTTGTCCTGCAGTGAGGAGCTTGCAGGAAACTCAGACGGGAGGAGACAGGCTCCGCCAGCACACCTGCCACCTTGCTAGGGACACACAGCAGGACCACCCCCAACAGGCGAGCCTGGAGGTGAAGGACCCATTCCCTTTGAAGGTTGACCAAAGGGTTGGCATTTACTGAATTTTCCTAGGAAAGCTCCCACCCCATCTTCCCTATGAAATCTTCAACACACTAAGAACAGCCTCTCCCCGTCTGGGAGCGGGTGGGACGGACCACGGGACTCATGAATTCTTAAAGGAACCTATGACAAGGTAACTGTGCCTATTCTGAATGCAAGTTTGCTCCTGCACCCAGAAAGGAGAAGCAAGCAACCTGGGAACCCCTGCACCCTCCTTGCAGGATCTGATCTAGAATCTGCTTGCTTGCTCTTCTGGGGTGGCTGTCTCTTTAATTTGGGGAGACATTTTACTACATCCCCCAATTAAGGCAATGGAAGGCTGTGTCTGCTACCATATGGGGGAGGCCCATGAAGGGGCGAGCCTCTCCCACCTCTTGGTCAGAAGGTCCAAACTTTTGTCCCGTGGGGGCTTCGCTGTCAGCTCTCGGCAAAACCTCTCATGTCCAGCCTGTGCTGTAGAGGGGTTGGAAGGGCCCTCACTTCCTCGGGGGGCACCAATGCAGTCATATGTCCCTACCTTCAATTCAGAATGAAAGGAGACTCTTTAGTTGGCCTTTGCCCTGGGTGTATGACCGTATCCTTTGTATGATCAGAAGACACACACAGAAAGGAAGCATCCCTAATCTCGACAAACCCTAAAATACGTAGGTTCTATTATTATGCTTGTATCGGGTTGGATGGTGTCCCCCCAAATTCACGTCCACCTAGAACCTCAAAATGAAGAACTTATTTAGAAACAGGGTCTATGCAGATGCGATTAAGTGAAGGATGGAGATGAGGTCATCCTGGAGGAGGGTGGCCCTAAATCCAATGACAATGTCCTCATCAGAGACAGAAGAGGACACACAGACACAGAGGAGAAGCCACGTGGAGACGGAAGCAGAGACGGGAGGGAGGCAGCCACCAGCCCAGGGACGCCTGGAGCCCCAGAAGCTGGAAGAGGCAGGAAAGACCCTCCCCTGGAGCCTCTGGAGGGAGCACGGCCCTGCGACCCCTTCATCTCAGGCTTTTGGTCTCCACATTGTGAGAGAGTAGGTTTGTGACCATTTGTGACAGCACCCTCAGGAACCTGACGCAGATCTCATGCAAATTCCATTAGAAATATTACACAGTGGTTAAATCTCAGGTCATTGTCCTCACCTATTTTCTTTAATGACAAAATCGAATCGAAGAACTGGATTCCCGTTCCTTGACTGGTCCCGTTAACCAGGAAGTAAGTGTAGGTGCTTAATCCAGAGAGGTCTTTGAGGTGACATCCTACGTGAGTTCCTGAGTCTTCTACGTAATGCGGACATTCTCTTTCCCCTCTTCTCCTGTAAGATTCCAAAGTGTTCAGAGGACAATCAGGGCATGGTATTTTCCTCACTGTGTTTGTCATAGTCGTCTACTGAGGTCCACACTTACTTTGAATCCTGTATATACAAAAAGTATTGGACGTCATCAGGGGCCGCTTGGCCCTTTGCCCAAGTGCAATTCATGAAATTCACATTGTAGATAAAACAGGAGAAGTTCTGGGCAGCTGTGCCCTCTCCACCTGGGAAGAGGCAGAAACAAAATCATTTGCACATGAAGGTTAAAAGGGGATGGACCAGTGGCTTCCTGGTGTGAGTGTTTACCAAACCTTCAAAGAATTGACACCAATCCTTCTTAAACTCTTCCAAAACACAGAAGAAGAAGGAACGCTTCTAAACTCATTTTATGAGGCCAGTGTCATCCTGATACCAAAGCCAGACAAAGACACAAGAAAAGAAAATTAGAGGCCAATATCCCTAATAAACGTAGATGCAAAAATCCTCAACAAAATACTAGCAAACCAAATCCAACAGTGCATTTAAAGGATTCCGTGCCATACCCAAGTGGAATTTATCCCTGGTATGCAAGGATGATTCCACATCTGCAAATCAATCCATGGGGTACACC